TAGTAGTCCTCAAAGTAGTCTGCAATCGGCGTTGCTTCTTAGGGAAAATTTCCAATAATTTTTCAAAGGCATAACTCATGTGTTCGATGGGAACAAAGGCCAACGCATTCTGTGCTTGAGAGCAAATTCACTATCAACTTGGTAGAGTTGTTGAAGGCCAGAGTCCTGAATTGAACGAACTCCATTCCAGAAAATATACGATTTGTCGAGAAATAAATTTGATTTTATATTTATACCATGGTTCTGTATGCCAAGGTGGATATGAACCAAGCTTCCGCCGGTGAATCCCTCTCATCTTTTGAATGTGTTGCTTTGATCCGCACGGCTCCCAAATGTGGATGGCCTATATCTAAGGTGTTGTCGGTGCCCGATCTTTGATCAAATACAACTAAGGTCACTCCTTGATTTCGAAAAGCATTTTTTTTTAGGTAGAAACTATTTTCTTAGTCGTAAAAAAATTACATTAATTTAATGTAATTTTTAAAAATTTCTTGGTTCACATCATCGTTATTTTTTCTCTATATAAACCTCAGTCCGGGGGTTATTATCCGGGGGGTTTATATCGCGGGGGGTTTTTGTCCAGGGGGGTTTATGTCGCGGGGGGTTTTTGTCCAGGGGGTTTATGTCGCGGGGGGTTTTTGTCCAGGGGGTATTTGTCCAGGGTTTTTTTGACCGGACACCCATTTGGCTATGTTGCTATATGAATATGGCGAAACATTATGATGGGGCTATGTGTGTATGGTAAAAGAGACTAGTATTTGGGCTTTGGCAATAAGGTAGTGCAGCCGCTATATATATATGGGCTATATGTGCGGTTACAGCACACACAAAGGGCAATAAGGGCAAAACTTTGAGAAGCATAAATGATGGGCGGGGGTGGGGGGGGGGGGGGGATTTACTGCGGGGGTTTTTCGATTTGCGAGTATACGTCACTAATGAATACATGTGAATGTACTCGAGAAAAGTTTTCTGTTAAGAAGGTAACAGTCGAAGTACAAAGACCACCAAAGCCGAGGTACAAAATACACCACAGCCAAGGTACAAAATACACCACAGCCGAGGTACTAAATACACCACAGCCGAGGTACAAAATACACCACAGCCGAGGTACAAAATACACCACAGCCGAGGTACAAAATACACCACAGCCGATGTACAAAATATACCACAGCCGAGGTACAAAATACACCACAGCCGAGGTACAAAATACACCACAGCCGAGGTACAAAATACACCACAGCCGAGGTACAAAATACACCATAGCCGAGGTACAAAATACACCACAGCCGAGGTACAAAATACACCACAGCCGAGGTACAAAATACACCATAGCCGAGGTACAAAATACACCACAGCCGAGGTACTAAATACACCACAGCCGAGGTACAAAATACACCACAGCCGAGGTACAAAATACACCACAGCCGAGGTACAAAATACACCACAGCCGAGGCACTATAAAAGGACATGTTGCGCAGGTTTTTGATGACCATTGATGAAGTGAACCGTGAAGCAGCAGGAACATGGTCACCTGTGGAGACTTTTTGTCCAAGACGTTACACATTTTTTTAATTTAACAACATGAACATTTTTTTAATCTAATCCCCACACCCCGCGTCTTCAAAAAAAAAATATTTCAAGCAGACGTGAAACCTGATGCGAAGAATGCTGACCCACATTTGAATACGTTTTCTGAATTCCTCGTTCTGCTTTAAGTTTTAGCCCAACAGACCGAAAGTCTACCAACCGTGTCGTAGTGTGCTTGTCTTTCCCGCACATACGACAAATGTACAAAACCTCTACAAGAGAAACTGGAACGTAGGGACCCTAGGTGTTAATTAAAGTCAAAATAACACGGGTTTTACACTGACATCAGATAACTCACGCGGTGATGTTAACGTATGATTGCCGCTGATGTAAGGTTTATTTCAGAGATTTATTTATCTGAGGTTGGAGGCCCTTTGAAACTTCAGGTGGTGACGGTGCTGATACATGGAAATGGTTTAAGTATTTCGTATAGAAATGTAATATTAAATGTAATATTATTTCTATTCCCCCCCCCCCCCCCCCCCACAACCCTGGCACACCACTGCAGAAGAACAAACACTTCCAAACTAACAACGATTCAAAACTAACTTTACGATTCAAAACTAACTTTACGATTCAAAACCAACATAACGATTCAAAACTAACATAACGATTCAAAACTAGCTTTACGATTCAAAACTAACTACGATTCCGCCTTTAAACAAAGATCCCCGCACTTCCCATCTAACTCCCGACCCCTAATTTCTTCTTACGACCCCTTACATCCAGGGGTCGCTTAATGCTTCCCGGAGAATGAAAATTAATTATTAAAAATGTCGTTGTTACTTTGTGGCAAGCTAAATCGGAGGAGGCTAAAAGCGGTATGATTTCTTTTTACGTTTTAATAGTTTTATGATGTGGCCTCTTTCCTTTTCAAAACAAAACTTTTAAAGATAAGAAAGGAAAATATTGTTGCTTGTTGCCTGCGGGCGAAAAAAAAACAACTAAATTTTGAAAAGTAAATTTGAAACGCTGAAGGGCGACCTGGTCAAGAAAATATTTTCAATCAGGTGCTGTGTGAAGACGGGGAGGGTGGCGGAGGAATAGGGAGAGGGGAGTTCTAACCATTTATACACTAAAAGTGTGTGAGGAGGAGGGGGGTAGACAAATATTTTAACATTTAAATAACTTCACACTTTTGTTGAACAGACCAGGATTAAATTTTGGTGCTTTCCGCTAGACGGTAAAGACGACTGCTAAAAGAGAAAAAAAATCCGTTTAGACTGCAGTAGAAATTTAAACAGATATGGAGCAATACGTTGAATCAACATCGCCGATAACGAAACACAGCCCCAAACTAACCGTAAGCGAAACACTAAACCCCTAGAAAAAAAAAAGACGAGTTTCTCGCCTAGAGGAGTGACATGGAAATCGCGAACGAACAAATAGCAGGCCAACCTGAATACCGTAAGACGAAACATGGAAAAGGGGGAGGGGGGGGGGGGGCGCATGGGCCAGCATTATGCTGAGAGATTTGTTATTTCGTAATGGCTGTAACGATAATTCGCAACCATCAAACCAGAGTACACTGATAATGGGGTGTTTCGTGTGTGAGGGGGTGGGGGAGGGGTTAAGCTGAATTTTTAAAAGTTGAATAACTGTACCCACTTCAACATTTTGGTACATGGGGTATCGGTGGGATCCATCTTCAACCGTGAAGTTAGGTTCAGCCGTTACAATACCGCTAGAACCATACAAGAGTGTCGCTAATCCACTATTAACAACTGGTAGAGAGACTAGCTTGCTAAACCGTTCTAAGTCCTGGAAAAGCCGAGGGGGGAAGGGGGGGGGGGCAAGTTGGCACAGATTTCCCGTTTGATAAAAAGATTTGTGTATGGCTCTTGTGGGTATAGGCTACGATTTTCCCATGGTTTAATTAGGAACCAATGAGTCAGTTTCTCAAGACAACCCGCTATAGTTCCACTTAAAATTTACATCTTCAATGCTGAGTACACTCTTTTATGTACATCTTCAACACTGAGTGTTCAATCATGTATATATACTGGAAAGAAGCAAAAGATTATTGTTTAGTTTTAATCAATACTTTGCAATAAAATTCCTAATCTCCACAAACTGCTTCACTACACTTCATCACAGATTGGCCAATGGGCATGTATTTATCAAAACAACATCAAACGGTTTATCTTTTCATAATGGTCACATTCTAATTGTTTTTGTATTGATCATATATATTTAATTTTTATTTTTTTTGGATCTGTCATTTATTTTATTTTATTATGTTGATTCAAACTGGGCAAAAAATATTAAATTGTTTTTTTTTTACTTATTTGATTATTCACACCAGTGATGTGTTTTATATTTAGATGACAATTGACATCTGTATATACAACTCTGGGTAAACATTATAAAGTGGTTTACAAATAAAATCTTGTATTAGAAACAATCAACACTACTTCATATTTTAAGAATAGTTTTAAGCCTATCAAAATATTACAGTTAGAAGGATTTCTTTTTTAAAATTTCTATAGTTTTTTTAACTGATAAATTAGCTTATAAAAAATTAGTTCAGTCCAAAGTCAGTCAGAAATTAATCTTTTAATCAGGCTACACTGTTTGGTAATGTTTATAAAAAATCTGAATCAAGTTTTCCTAAGTTTACAGAACAAATCAACAGGAAGTCTATGACACACAGATGGGTGGGTGTAAACTGTAACAGGAAATTTAAGGCCTCTTTGTTTCAGTTATAATATAATGTAATGTAAGGGGTTTCTAAAGAGTGTGTAATGTGGGGAAGGTGGGTGTACTCATGCTGGGTTTTCATGAGATTTCCATACTTAATGTTGAAAATTCAATTACATTTTCTCTTAAAAATGTATTTTTATAATTTTTTTTTAAATTTTAAATATAATTGACAAACAGAATTTTACATCTTTGGAATTTAATTTAGATAAGCCTACATAAATATATATCATTGGTATTGTTAATGCTTTATAGAATTTTTTAGAATGCCGTAGTAGCTTTTTCAGTATTTTAAAAAAGGTATGAATATTAAAACAAATAATATTCACAAATTGAATGGGTAGGCCTATACAAATACATTTTTCTTTTAGATGACGCTATAGGCTTAAGTCCAACAATTTACTAATCACAGATAATTAATTTAAATTTTTTTTTTACCGATTATATTTATAGGCCATATTTATCATTTTGAAAATGTATCATTTGGTATATTAATAGAAGAAGTAAGTAATCCAACCCAACACTATCACTGTTCCTAGCATGATTAGAAAACAAACCCATAGCACACATTATTGTTATCCAATACAAAGGAAAAAAAATTGAAACTGTATGAAATATTTTGTTTTTAAGATGTGTTATACATTAAATAACTTTTTAAAATACTGAATAATAATTAAAAATATTATTTCATAATTACATTTTAGGATACTTACTTTTCGTATTCATCATTATCCTGTAAACACCTTTCATCCATTAATTTCTCCCAACCTTTCCCGTGCTTACACGTAGTCAATAAAACAATATCCTTGCCATTGTGTAAATGGTACAAGCTATTCCTCGTATCCGAACCTATACCGTTCAAATATCTCTTCCCTTTAAAGGCGAGTAAATAATGCCGGAGTGACGGAATTGAGTTGGAAGCGTTGTTTAAATATCCTAAATCACCGCCAGACTGCGGATGGTCTTTGGGAAAAAGAGGCATGGATACATCGAATCCATACCTTATCCAGTCTATAGACATGCTGGACTTCACAAGCATGGCCTGCTCGATGAATTTGAGCTCCTCTGAATAATTCGGCCAAGTACCGGAATACTGGTTGAAGAGTAAGTGGTTTCGGCCACCGTTCCAAAACGGAAGGTTCTGTAATTTTTTGTCGACATCTGGGACGTAGTCTCTGCTGAGTACGTCTTGGTCGAGAGTGTCGATCGACGGAACAAATATACAAGCCTCGTGTGGATTGGCTGTGAGATATCGAGACTTTTCTATGACGCTGAGGATCTTTGCGTATGGGGCTGACACTGATGCCTGGCGAGGGTACAGGTATATTTTGAAACCGTTTTTACACCTGCTGAAATCAAAGCAGGTCTCCATCCGACACTTTTTCCAATCCTGGCGGGTCTCCAACTGGGAGCGGTTCTCAGGATCTGTGTGTGTGTCGTCTGAGAACACATCCTCCGCGAGGTAGGATCGAGGGCCGAAGGCATCCCCATGCTCATGAGGTTTTTTTCTGTTTGTACTGTCGGTGGTGACCGAGCGATACTTAAGACTGGATCCGTTCGTCGTGAAGGCATGAAAACGGGTGTAGATCAAATAGCCAACAACGGTCAGGAATCCGAACATGGAGATAAGAGTGAATCTCTTTTTAAACTGCATTCGCACATTTGTCTTCACCTGAGGAGCCAAATGATCATCTTGCTGCCCCCACGGTCCTGACCCACAACACAAAACAACAGACGGCTCTTATACTCCAGGCTTGTTTCGCCAGCACACACAAAACACCGTTAGATTTCACTAGGACGCCATATTGGCTCGCGCATGCGCGTCTCGCATCTAACAGTAGCGAATCTTTCTGATGTGGGCAGGAGGGAAACGGGAGACGTTTTCAAGTTTATAGAAATAAAATGGTGATCTTTCATGACTGGTTAATTTTTAATCAAAGAAAATATCAAACTTAAAAACTGTTATAACATTTTATGGTTGTTTGATAGGCGAAAGACATCGACACACAGTAAGAAAGGGAACAGCAGATTCTCTTCAAACGAAAGTTTCCAGTTTCCAGTCAATTTAGAAACGTATTTTTTAAAAAAATAAGAAAAAAGGATTATCCGGTGTTCAGATATACGCTCAACGTACAAAAATTCAAGTTAATACAATATTCTGGCTTCCATACCGAACAAACGATAGATAAGTTTGTAAGAAAAGTCCCGTTTCGAAATCACAGCCTTACGCTTAACTAGGCCCACACTCAATCGGGAATACCCTTAAACTAGGTACACTCCTTGTAACCTATAATTAGATTACGCTATCGCATTCAACAAGTGCGCTGTGACTTGAATCACTTGCGCATATTTGGCATAATTCGATTCGCGATCACGTGTGCATTAAACAATCCAAGAATAATTAATGTGAATATTCGGTTTTATTTGGTCTCTTGGTTTAGAATAATTGACAAAATTAAATTAAGTAAAAGACCATATTTAAGAAATTTCATCAAAAGTCTAACCTATTTTGATAACTAGATTGATGTATATGACAGAATTCATATAACTAACGCATATTACACGTATCAATATTTTTTTCATCTGTACTGCAATATATAAAAAATATATAGGCCTATATATATTGAATTCATTAATTTTCAAGGGAAAATACTCATCCTTAAATTACTGCGTCAACTATGAAAGTAGCTTCCCCTTGGTGATGGCTTGCCTTAAATACATCACACAAAAACTTTTAAATTAAAGGTTAACAATAACATATCGTGCATATTTGTTACTTTTTCTTACTTCACGTGAACTTAAAAGCTCGTTACGCGATATGTTCGCGTTTAATAACTGTCTTTATATATCATTTTTTTTAATAGCAGGAGTGAAATTTTGTAGGCGTAGCTTGTAGTAATCTGTCCAGATTGTCGTTTATCATATGAGCTTGAGTAGGCTACTCTGGACTAGTGTTTCTGTTTGTTATTTCTACTTTTTTAAAACATTAACTGTATAATGCAGTAATGCAGGTCTACCCTGTTTGCCCCCTCCCCTAGGGTTAGCGCCTAGGCGACAGCCCCACCCAGAGGCGTAGCGAGGGGGAGCGGTACATATGTCCCCGGGCGCCGACCTTAGGGGGGCGCCAAAATGGGTTGGAAAAACAAATTGAAAGTTTAAGGGGGGGGGGGGTGCAAATTGAAAGTTAGAGGGGGGGGGGTGCAAATTGAAAGTTTGAGGGGGGGGGGTTCAAATTGAAAGTTTGAGGGGGGGTGCAAATTGAAAATTGAAAGATTGTTCCCGAGGGGGCGCCAAATTGAAAGTTTGTCCCCGGGCGCCGGGAAGGGTCGCTACGCCTCTAGCCCCACCCACCTTCCCTACCTACGTCTTTGACAGTTACCAGTGATTATTGTGCCACAACTCCCCCCCCCCCCCTGCTATCCTCTAGAGCAAAATGTCTGAAAGAAACTGGTATAGACGTGGACATGCGCTGAGGTAGTCCCCCCCCCTGGTTTTAATCACACTGTTTACGAATGAAGAAGTGTTTGTTTTCGATTAGCTATCGTTTCCTCGCGTACAGTAGTCGAGACTGTTGAAGATGTAATGCGTCATTTCTCGATCTCACCATTTCTCTATCGATGCTCATGTATTTAATACCTTCTTTACATACAACTAATAACATACGACAACACATACAGAGGCGTCGCGAAGATGGTGGTGGGAGGGGGGGGGGCGGACGGACTGTGTTGTGGACCGCACCGGGTGACACCATTTATGGGGGAGTAAACCCAATGCGAAAAATGGCTAAATTTTTAGAAAAAAAATGCATCTTGCTTGATCAGTTAATGATTGATTTAAGTTAAATTGTCTTTAAGCACAATACGATCCTGATTGGACCCTCGTCGTTTTTAATCTAGCCGATTGATCTGATAAATGGTTATTTAGGCCTATTATATGTCGCTGAATCGAGAAACAGCTTTAAATCTTGTTTGGCCTAGTTTTATTCTTACTTCTTTTAGTTTTTGATTAATCAAAACATTTAAAGGGATTATCAAAAATATATAAACTATTAATTAAACTAACCCATAGCCAATGCTTACTGGCTATTTTCGTATAAGATCACCGGTTATTTTCGTTTTTTTCCTTACTATTTGAGTAACCGTAAATGTATTCAAGGTTACGATTAGATGCCTAATTTTATTCTTTCGCATACAAAATCAAACCTTTTGCAGTAGAAATACGTTTCTATATTTAATGTACTTATATACATCTTAAGAATTATAATACAAGAATATAGATATTCACAGTTATAAGTTTTAATATCAAATTCAAGTGGTATCGAAACTAAACCTCTACAGCATTCCGCTAAAATCAGACGTCCGATTTCTTTCAACTTCCTTTTTACTTCCACACTCCTCGTGGTAAGCACGTATAATTCGATGGTCTTATTTTCAGATAAAATTACAGTAATTTAGTTATTTTTGAACTTATGTGAACTAATACTTACACTAGAATTACTTTTACCGTTACAGATTAAACGAAAAGGTTGTTGAACTGCGAAAATGGTCGCTCAGAAGAAAGCGGTGAGTTAATCAAATTTTATCACACACCAGATTTCTACCAACTCATCAATTCAGAACCTTGTCTCTCTTCTCTCAAGTTTACCTTTTTTCCCCCCATTCAATAAATAATGGGTTTAGACATCGACTAGACTTGTATAACATCACAGCTTGTAGTTAAAGAACTGTCTGATAAAATACAAAAAATGAAAAGGAAAGAAGTTCATGAGGGTAGTTTCTGATGAGCACACAGCAGCTGTGTTAGAGATTGTTGCTGGGGTTAAAGTTTAAAGATACTGATGTTCTTTGCTGGGGTTAAAAATACTAATGTCCTATGATACACACAAAATTCCCCTTTCCCCCCGCCCCCCAACCCGTTGGCATATCTGACAAATTACACTACTGTATGTAATTTTAAAGTGCAGCGTGTCACACAGGGGATCACAACTCCCGGTTTTAATTGGGCGTAATTTGGTAACTGTTTTTGATGGGAAATTCTCTGCTGCCATTCTACTCTTTCTTTATTTTATTTGTTTAGATTCTATTTTAATGATTGAAATATTTTACTTTTTAAAGTGTTGTTGATTGTATTATTAATAGATTGGAAAACAAATTTAAGGCAGCATTTGCGTGGTTCGCTTCGCTTTACGCTAAATCTTTATCCTATGTGGCACGCGATCTAAAAAAATAGATATCAGGACTCCCGATTTTTTTTTGTTGTGTTAGCCATTTATTGTTGACATAGATCTAGTTAAGTGTATTCTAGGGATCTAGTCTAGAACTTGATATAAAACAGTACAGTGTCAATAGCGGGTCAGGTGATAGTCCTAGATCTAGCTAAATCAAACTGCCATTTGGTGATGTTTTTACAGTTTTACAGCTATCTAGCATGCATGATGGTAGATCTAAGTCTATATTATTAATCCTATGTAAACTTAGACTTTCAATTTGCTTGAGGGGGGAGGAGAAGTGAAGACACAGACGTTCTCGTTGAACTTGTATTCATTCTGATGTATGCTTTAGGCCTGCTGAACTCAGGTGGGCCATGATGGGATTTTTCACTCACATGATAGTACATGTAAGCAATCACGCCAGTGACGATGTTTGGAAAATTTATTTTAAAATAATCATCCATCATGTTTTCAATACAAACAAGATTAAATGTAAATAAGACACCAGTATCTGTCGTGCTAGCCCCAGGTTCGAACTTGGAGCTCCAGGTCTATGAACTACAGTCTACAGCTGGCACACTGTTGCCTCAACCACACTGGAAGTGTTGGAGAAGGAATAAATAAGCATTTTCAATCACACGATGGCAAATCCAACTAGCGATATGAATAGTCACTTCGTTAAGGGCCACGCTCTGCAAGACTCGTAGTCATTTCAAAAATTTAAAATACAGCATAAAAGACTTTGGCCCAAGGTTTTAGGTTTAAATACATTTTAAACAAGTCTATTTGACTTAAACCTTTGTTTTGCATTTACAGAAAAAGACAGCAGACAACATCAATGCCCGTTTGGCACTGGTGATGAAATCTGGCAAATATGTTTTGGGCTATAAGCAGACACTCAAGACCTTGAGAGCTGGAAAAGCTAAGCTTGTAATTATTGCCAACAACACTCCACCACTGAGGTAAAGATCTATATAGCAGTAAAGCACCCAAAAATTAAATATTGCTCAAATTGCCATCATTTAGTTGGTTACCTGCATTTTAATTTAAATACTTTTATATAAGATTTATTTTAATTAGACTTCGGAGCTGCTGTTAAAGTAGTGAAGAGGAAGTCATTCTTCTTTTCACAATTTTATGCTTTCTTTTCAAAGCTATCTGAACATCAGTTGATTTAGCATGGACCATGCTTGGTTTATTATTTGGAAGTTTTATTTAAAAGGTCTATATCAGTAATTAATTTTAGTATTAGTAGACAGTAATTATTTTGTGTGTGGTGATAATAAATTACAAAATGTCAGTTAACAAAGTAAATTGGTTACACCTGTCTGATGTTGTCTTGAAGTGCATTTTTGTTGTTGTTTTTATTATTCCTCTTCATTTTGCTCAAATTTTGATTGTACCATTGGTTACAGGAAGTCAGAGATTGAGTACTATGCTATGTTGGCCAAGACTGGTGTCCATCACTATGGTGGAAACAATATTGAGCTAGGTACAGCCTGCGGAAAGTATTTCCGTTGCTGCACACTGTCAATCACAGACCCAGGTGACTAGAAACTTCTGAACATATATTAAGTTTTGGCATAACCATGGGAACAGCCTTGTGGCTGCTTGCCCTTCCATGCTGCCATATATTGACATGGATGATACAGTCTTCCTGTGGTGACTTGTTACTTCGCCATGGAAAGTTTTATTCATTGTACATTATTTCTGTTGTTTATTATGTTGTGAATTATAATCTTGGTCACATGTTAAATATTTTTTGTTTTTCTCCAGGTGACTCTGATATCATCCGCAGCATGCCAACAGAGCAACAGCCAGCTGCATCTTAGATTGGATTAATAAAGTTGTCTGTTAAAAAAAATTCTTATGTTTCATTATGTGAATGTGTTAGTTTGCTACTAATTGCTTGTTTGGGCTCATGCTTGTAATAACAGCAGTATCGGGATTAGTACTTTTAAATGAAATACATGCTGAAGTAGTTTATGTTCACTTCTGACTATAAAAATTGTAACCTTGTGGGCAAGTTAGACTGAACTTTTTTTTTTTTTTATTAGCTACACTGCCTTCTGTCCGCAATTTTCAAAATAAATTCTAAGGGTAGTACATTTCGTCTGGGAGTTCAAAATTTTAATTTACCAGTGCAATGCTCGTCTCTAAATTGCGGGCTACCTTAGAATATATTTAGAAAATGCTTAGGTGTGAAAAGAGTATACAATACTGTAAAAATACAGTAAGAGCCCAGGGTCTACACAGTACAAGTGTTAAATGTCAGGCCTGACGAGTGGGAGTAATTGGGTGAATTATTTTACTGCTGGGCTGTGGGAACAACTGAGACTCAGAATTTACTGTAAACCCCCCCCCCCCCACTGAACAGGATCAGAAGTGTGGGGCTCTGTTCTGGGTGTTTATATTCAAGCAGCAGAAATTCAGTGCTTTGGATTCCAATATGTGATGTATTATTAGCTTTGTTTATTCCACGGAAGATTGTTCAAGTAGTTGACTGGTGGGTATATCATATTGGTGGTACAGGCGTTATTTTTTTTTATAGCTGGGGGGGGGGGGGGATGATTCGTTTTCGACTGAACTGTTCAGTAAATCAATGTTTATTTATAAGACTTCTTATTTCAAAAAGTTGCACTAAAAAATAACTCAAATCGGTAGTGGATAGTATCTGACGATCCTTGAGGGGACGTTCCACGTGTAGCATGACGTCATTTGTTAATTACCCGAGCTCTCTTTTCCACGCCACTGCGACACACGATTAGCGTCGTTTGGTTGTGTGAGTAACCAAGGGCAGATCTAACAATCTCCAGCCCAAAAAAATATATGCACGATGGTGTTTTTAATGTTCTTTTATGTTTGTATTATTTTACAACGTATATGCGCAGAGTTTCTTCCAGGAATCTCCAGTGTTTCTTCCAAACTTTTTTCTCCGGGGGGGGGGGGGGGGGGGTGGTATAACTGTTAAAAGTATATATTTTCTATATAAATTATATAAATTTCGTTCGGGGGGGGGGGGGCAGTCTGGGCATCTCTTCGGCGGGACAGACCCTCCCCCCGAACGGAATGGAACTTATATATAGAAAATATATACTTTTAAACAGCCCCCCCCCCCCCCCCCGAAGAAAAAAGTCTGGAAGAAATATTGCATCTCAGGAGGGGCATGTAGGTGCAGCCCACAACCTTCCTCCACTCCTCCCTAAAAATAATAGTGAAAGGTAAGATCAGCTTAGTTGAAAAACTGGTCTATATTGCTTACCTAGGGCTGCTTTATTATCTATATTCACGCACATCTTTGTAGACTTAACAGGTGTTGGGGGGGGGGGGGGGGGGGCTGGTCAATACTACTTTCCTATGGCGAGATCTTCATGTGTGATCAGGGGGGTGAACTCTTGTTCTAAAGTGACTTTCATTCATTGATTGAAACAGCTGCAAACTTGTAGGGGTCAGGACATAAAGTTGTGAGTTAACTAAAGTTGTTTTAAAATATGGACTAAAAATTTTTAATTAAGTAAGGAAACAAAAAAAATTTGCAAGAGACCTTTTTAAAAAAATAAACTTATGGTAACTTTGTCCAATTGGAATTTCTTCCTAGAAGACTGACTTTTATTTTTATAAAACTATCTTTAAATTAAAAACTCATCAGTTTTAGAAGATCCTAAAAGTAAAACTAAAATGATCAGATCATATAGACTCAGAAGTCAATGAATCGTTTTAGTTTCTAGAAAATATAACCTAGGCCTAATTTTTTATAATAGTTATAAATAGCTAGGATAACCAGCATTTTAGTTTTCCGAGCAAGAAAGGCGTCACATAATTTTTTAAATAACCCTCGGAAAAAATGAAAACTTATAAAAATGCCGTAATTTTTAAACGAATAACTTCTAATGTAAATTATAAAGATTTAAACTTGGATATAAAATATAAAGTTGCTCAAAAACATTTAAAAGATTAATGCGGAGCAAGAATAACTGATAGTTTGAACTAATAAATGGGAGAAATATGACTTAATCATGTTTTACCTGTGTATGCCCCTAGGTTAAGCTTACTAATGCGATGGTCTTAACAACACGCATACGGTTGAATATTACAATCATTGTGTGTGTCGGTATTTGTAAGGGCTACAGGCCCTATGAGTATGTTCGAAGTATGTTGCGTGTATAACGTGTGTCGTGGGCCAGCATATGAGAATCATAGTGTCTGTTTTTTGTTATTTGTAGATCTGTATGTTACTAAACATATATTGCGTGTGTCGTTAATTGCAGGCCTACATATCAGATGTGTTTGACATTTCAACTGCTCTCACGATTGCAACGTGTTCTAGAACTCTCTATGACGTGGGTGTGCGTAGTTGGGCTGTGTCTGAACGAAGTAGCCACCGCCTCGTTTACCCAATTACCAACAGTGTAATTATAGGTTTATTGCATTCTCTGTTAATTACAGGGAGGTGTGTGTGTGTGTGCACCTGTGTGGTTTAGTAGTCTGACCTAAATGTGTAGCGGCCTTATCTTGAGAACACATGCATAAAATCAATGAACTGGTGATGAGTGGTCCGTGAATCACTTTCTTGTAAGTGGACTTTCCAAAGTGTCTTGACCGGTGCCTGTCCTCCACACAATTGCTGACCGGATGTGTCTTTAAGCATGTGATCAGGACATACACGCGATAAGGACATACACGCGATAAGGACATACATGTGATAAGGACATACAGTTAATCAGGACGTATAGGTGATCGCTAAAGGGGTGTTTCGCCAGAGTCTGTTGACAGACAGTGAGTAGTTATATTACTTATATTTTTCAAAAACGATAATAAAGCACTTAATAATTAATTCATAAAAAAAATAATTAGGCGACCAATTAAGTCAAATTGAATGTCACGATGCATTGTCTTCATGTCTTGCCTACGTACCAATTACGAACCGTACCTTCAGTTAGAAGTGCCTGCAATTTCGCACGGGCGTTTCGATCTAGACAAACAGACTGACGACAGACAGAGGAAGTGAGGTTAAATAAAAGCTTGTAAAAATGTTTTGTTACATCCCCTGTACCGTATACATCTCAATAGTAATGAAATCTGAAAGGTCTTTCTGGGTGTTTAGGGGATCATCCTTTAATGACGTCATGCTTTTTAAAAAGATTTTTACATCCCCTCCCCTCCGTCACACATCGTCACGAAAGCCAGAACCCCGCCCTTAAATTGACGTCAAAATTCAGTCTACAACCCCCCCCCCCCCCCCACCCCCTCAAAACTGCATTAGAATTTTTTTTTAAACATCTATATTTTTCTAAAATTTTGACTTAGCTTAGTTAACATAGAGTATTTTAATAAATTTCTATGACAACTTATTAATACAGTTTTCTAAAACGCGAAACAATTGCTAAAATTCAGTTTCTAGCATCACTTTTTATATGAAAAAGTAGGACGTCACACTCTCAGGACCCCCCCCCCCCCCCCCCCCCCATGTTCTCTCTAAGCTGCGCGGTTGCGCGTCGGCGCAGTAGTTTTTAACTGCCGCGCAGTCATTTTGTACAATACATATATCCTTTTATAAGACTTTTAGAATACCGCACACACAAATACATGTTGCACACGATCTTTTTCCCTTTAGAGGAAACATTGCCCCCCCCCCCCCCCTCAGCACACATCGTCACAAAATAACAGAATACCCCCGTCCCCCTACGATTGTGACGTCATTTATGGACGACCCCTAAGCAGAAAGCACATATATCCACATAATCGAGAGCTTGTAATGTCAACACTACCTCACCACTCACTGGCTACAAACATCTACATACGTCACGGTGACACCATTTAGGGGGGGGGGGGACACTAAGGCAAAAAGTAGCAAAATATATAGAGAAAAATGATTATTTCCCTTAAGTGATTAATTAGTCTTTTAAGAGGTGCAAACCGAAAGTTTGAGGGGGGGGGTGCAAATCGAAATTTTGAGGGGGGTGCAAATCGCCTCTGGGGGGGTGACACCATTAAGTGCCGCACCGGGTGACACCCGACCCGACCTCGCTACGCCACTGAGTATTAGGTCAAAATTTGTTATTGTTCTGACTCACGTCTATTACGGCGACTTCGTTAAGAAGTTTCCAGATCAATTCATTTCCAACGACAACACAATTTATTTAATAAGTTTGCCATTACACGTTAATTTGAAAATGACCATTGGCAATGACAAAATATGAAACAACAAGATTAAGAAGTAGCGATACTGATCCATCAGGAATAATCAGGATAACTATGTTAACTATGATAACTACAGATATTTTCAAAAATGAGAGCTCTCCAGTGTCTAAGTTGACTAGCCGGACTAAGAAGACTGTAAGAAACCTGCATACATTTCATGCAGATATTAAATTAACAATAGAATTGTCAGTGGCTAAAGGCTAAATGTATTGAAACCATTTCTAGAAAAACTTTTTTTTTTATTATTATAGATCAATAGTTTAGAAAAAATATGTTAGTGACATTATTGTTATTACAAAGGATTTTATACTTATTTTAATCTTGTCTTGGAATAATGCAGTGGATCTGATGGAGATTCCTGTTGTTTTTTAGTGGACTGCACAAAATATTTGAGCATACCACCAATAGCGTGTAATTACAAATAGTCAGTTAAATATGTTTTAAAAGCCTATATTTCAAGTTCTTTAAAGTATATCTAACGTGTGTTTATCATCATTTTATAGAGGACAGATTATGGTGGATTTTTAAAAAATGTTTCATTTTATTTTTTTATTTTTTGAACGTGTGTGGGGGCTTATAAGTAACGAAGTTTAATTTATGAACCTTGCACTTATTGCAATATTTAACGAGCCTATTAAATTTTTTATATTAATTTATAAATACTGTGTCTTTTGAAAATCA